CCCCCCCACACACACATACACCCAATAAAATGATTAGGAAAGAAAAATGGATTTAGGGCTTCCACTGTAAACCACAGCTTCTTGCCAACTCAGTGCCCGGAAATGTCAAGTGTGGATACAGGCTCTGCTTCTGACTGAGCTGGGAGGGAGGCGGGGAGGGCCCATGTCTCACTCCAGGAGGGGGCCTGGCAGGGAGCAGGAGGGAGGCTCCCCAGGCTCTGCCTCCAGGTGGTCTCCTGCTTCCTTATCCTTCAGAACAAGCCCCCCCCTCCCACCCGCCCTCCTCCCCACTGCAGAGAGATCCTTGTTGCCTGCAGAGGCCGGTTCTTCAGTGAGACAAAATAGTCTCTGTGTTCTCCCCGCACTGGGTGTCTTGGTTAAAGGCTCCTCCCTCACCTAGGCCAGCCAGCCCTGCGGTCTCAGAGCAGGGAGGTGGTAGCAGGCCTCCTGCCCGGATGAATGAATGAACAAGGGTCTACATTGTGAGACCCTGAGTGGGCCAGTGGGTCCCCTTCCCCATCCTGGGCTGGCTCCTGACCCCTGCAGGGTCCCCTGGTGAGAGCCCCGCTCTCCAGGGAGGGGCAGCTGAGTCTAGGCTGAGAAGAACATTCTGGAGCTGGGCAGGGAGTTGGCGGGGGGAGGGGGTTCCATACCTGAGTTCCTGAACTCTAGGTGGGCTTCTGGTAGATAGTACCTGGTCAGGTAGGTTCTGACCCATAGCGAGCTCACGTGCAAGAGCACCAACAGCAGCCTGGGCCTGCTCCGTCCTCACCAGCACTGCTGTATCTGAGCCCCTCACTACACGGTCACTGCCCCTGCTTGAGGGTCTTCCTCTGTTTCCAGAGCTCTCGGCAAGGTGTGATATCCAATCTCGATAGCACATCCAAAGTACGTGACACAGACCCCCTTGGTGCTCAGACTGAGACCACGTGGACCCCAAACTGGCTTCGGTAATGAAGGCAAGGGAATCTTTTGGCCCATTGATCTGAGCAATTCAGGAGCTCACGGACTTCAGGTGTGGTTGGATCTAGGCGCTCAGAGAGGTCAGGAATCCTTTGCCACTTGTCAGTCCCTCCTTATTCTGTGAGAGGTTTTGTTCTCAGGCAGGTTTATCCCCACCATGGTGCCAAGTGATGCCCTGCAGATCCAGATGTCCCCACCACCAGCCGGGGCAATGAACCTTCTTTCCCAGTAGCCCAGCCAAGGTCCGAGTTCGCTTTCATTGGCTCAGCTTAGGCTACATGCCCTCCCTGAACCAATCAGGATGAGCAAGGGGAGGGAATCTCCTCGTTGGCCTGCAGGAAGGTTTGCTCGTTCCTTCCGGGAAACATGGGAGAGAATTAAAAAACCAACCCTGTTGCCGTTGATTCAATTCTGACTCTTAGTGACCCTATAGGGCAGGGTAGAACTGCCCCTGTGGGTTTCCGAGACTGTCACTCTTTTTTTGTTTGTTTGTTTTGTTTTTTTGGTTTTTTTTGGTGCCGTGACTCGGATTCGAACCGGACTGTCACTCTTGATGGGATAGAAGCCGTCTTTCCACCGTGGAGTGGGTGGGTGGGCCTGCTAGCCTTGTGGCACCCCACTCAACCTGAAACCACGACACCACCAGGGCTCCTTGGGAGACGGGAGACATGGGAGAGAGCTGGCTCCCCAAAGCAAGGGTCACAGGCATCCCGCCCTCTCTCTGCCCCCACCGCTCTGTGACCTGCCCTCTCTCATTCCATCTCCCCCAGTGCCCACTTGGATCCTGGCACTGTCCCTGAGCCTGGCTGGTGCCTTCTTCCTCCTTGTCATGCTGGTGGCTGTTGTCATGGTGATCAGGAGAGGTAAGAGCAGACACAAAGTCCAGGCCAAGGGCAGCCAGTTTTCCCCCAGAACTTGCTCCCACTCACACCCACTGGTTAGCCCAGGGGAGGCAGACAGTTTGGGCCAGACTCACCCCAAAACTTCGGGGTCCTAAGTGAGATGGGGGTGCAGGTGGGGAGAACGGATATATATTTTTTTACAAAGCAATGATTGTATCGGCTTAGACATTGTTGGAAGTTTTCCTGTGCTGATGCCATCGTTGAAGAACAAAATATATATCTGCAGGGAGTAAAGCTGGCAGGAAAGGCTGGGCTTGGAGTGTATGGGGGCAGGGGGAGGGAGATCATTCAGGGTGAAGGGCCCTGACCCAAACCAAGCCCACTGGCCTCCATCTATTCTGTCTCATAGCAACCTTGTAGGACAGGGTCGAACTGCCTCACAGGGTGTAACTATCATCTTTGTGGAAGCTGAGCCATCTCTCTCCTGCCTAGAGGATGGGAGGCTCCTTAGGGGCCCTCCATGCCGCAGTGGTTGAACTTCTTTCTTGGGGCTGTGTCTATGGGGGGCCTTTAGGGACGGTGCCAGATGCAAATCTAACCGCACTGCATGTGTTTGTTTTGTCCCCAGTTAAAGTCACAAATTTGCAGAAGAAAAGGTGAGACCTTCAGGGAGGCCCTCGGAGGGTGGCTTTGGGGACAGAAGCACTGGTTTCCCAGGCCAGGAGACCCTGAGGGGTGTCAAAAGAATCCTTGTGTGAAGGTGCTGGGTCTGTTTCCCAGAGTCCCACCTTAAACCGGGAGGGGCGGGGATGGAGTGACTGAGAGGGACCTCTCCCAAACTCATTGCCTGGGAGTCCTCCCCCTCCCCGGCTCCCAGAGTGGAGCTGCCCTCGTGGGTTTCTGAGACTGTGAATCTTGATGGGATGGTGAATTTGGACAGCGGATGTGGCAGTTAGCGGCTTCGCATGTGCCTACTACACCAGCAGGGCTCCTTGTTAATCGACGGGAGCCATTCAGTAAGGGCACTGGGTTAGGACACCTCTAGCAGAAGCTCCCATTTTCCTGCCAGCGCCCAGACAGCAGGTGCTGTGAATGACCCGGTTTCATAGACTGGGGGCCTGGGATGCAGTGCAGGGGGGCCACCCAGGGAGCAAGTGGCAAGCAGAGCCTTCCACCAGTCCCTCATCACTGTCCACAGGGAAGCTGTTTTCATCAGCCAGAGATTCCCCCTGGAGGAGC